CCCCAGGGGGGATGGTCACGCCGCAATCCCTTCTCCTCCATTCTCCTCTCGGGATCTTGGGCACGCACGCACACGCGCCCAGCGTGAGTTTTTTAAGCCACCGGGTCTGGGACACGAACCGCGGTCGACTACGTGGGAGTCCAGCGACATAGCCATTACACTAACTGCTGGTTCCCCATGAATCCCACATGTTTTGAATCCAGGACTCAGTGGCTTTAAAAATACCCTAGGCACATATGCATACATACCCAAAATCCCTGGGAAAGAATGGAGAAGAGATTGTGGTTTGCCCATTCCCCTTGGGAAGTGATTTTTTCACTTTCCCTCTCTGTCTCTCTTCAGCAAGCACACACACCCTACGGTAAAAATCTTTAAAAAAAGAAAAAATAAAAAAAGAAAGAAAGAAAGAAAGAGAAAGAGAGGAAGAAAGAAAGTGTCCACCCCAAGGCCAAGTGCAGCATCTGTGGGTGCTCAGGTAGCAGGTTCCCTTGTCCCTCTGTCCTCAGAGGGAACCCTGATGCAGGAAGGTGATAAGCCCAGCTACTCCCACTGTGACAGCCCTCTCCGCTTTTACAGAAAAGTCTACTTCCACCTTCGGGCTGGAAGCCCTGCACTGTCCATTCCCTCCAAGGCAGCTGTCTGGTACCAGCATTGACAAAGTGCTTTGGACATTTAAAAAAAGTCCTCTTAAGACCAAGTCCAAAACAACAGTACTCCCTTCTCCTACCCCAGAGGAATCTCTGCTAATGCATTTTAATTCTGGGGGCCCATCCCTTTCACCTCCCTGCCAGTCTGAGGCCTAATTGGGAGGCCAGCACACCTCAGTTCCCTCTTGTTACAATGCTCCCTCCCAGCCTATTTAGAGGAAGCCACTGTAATGCAAATATGTCTTTAAAGCAAGATGTCCAAAAAGGTCATTTCCTTTTAAAAGGAGTCTGGTGCAGTGGGGAATTCCTGGATTACCTTCCAGTGTTAATTACTTTCAAACAGAGTGCTAAAAGTCAGTGTCAGTGGTTACACTCCGATTCCAGAGAACCCAGTCCCTTGATTCAACCACCTGTGTTGGTGCTTTCTGCTTGTGCCAGTGTCCATCCGGCCTCAGCCCAATGAAAGACAGCTCTGGCTGCTATGACCGCCACATCGGGGTGGACTGCTCTGACGGCTTCAACGGCGGCTGTGAGCAGCTGTGTCTCCAGCAGATGGCGCCCTTCCCGGACGACCCTGCCTTGTACAACATCCTCATGTTCTGCGGGTGAGTTGAGCTGCCCCTGATGCTTTCTGGAATACAGAACCCATTTTAGTGTTGCGACCTGAAAAGTAAAAGTAAGGAACAGGTCACCCTAGGCTGGCGCCTGAGGAAAGAGCCTGCAGGGCAGGAAGAAAGCACTTCTGAAGTCCAAGTTGAGAGGAATTTTAGAGAAAGTCTAGTTCAATCCTTATAGATGGGGAAATAAACTCAGGGGAAATCAGCCAAGCGTTCTGTTTCAATCATTGCTTTCTTAAACTAGGGAGTTCCAAGCTGCGTTTTGTGAAGCTATGTTAAAGAAGTGTTTTGTGACAAAAGGGTCCCATAGTTGAAAACTTGGGAAA